GACTTGTTACTTTTAGAACAGGAAGCTGGTGGTCATCAGAGAGGAAAAACTACACACTGTAAGGGTATCAATAAGCACTAAACTGACCTGGGTCCCTACCATAACATCTTCAGGTTCTGGAGATTTATTACCAAGCCAGCTCTCCTAAAACATTGACTGACAATATAACCAAGGTAAGTGATTAATGAGTTTTTTGCTTGATTGGTAGGATCTTAAATAACATCTAAATCTAGGCAAGTGTGAGCAAAATCTGAAGCTGTCAACACTCAGCTGATGCACTATTGTTCTAGCAGCAGCCTTCCAGGGGAACATGCTTAGGAAAGTTGCATGCATCACATATGTATGACCCTTTCTGATGCAGGATTAACAAAGTCCTCTCTCTGTGTCTGCTACAACAGAATCTGGTTATATTTATTAAGCATTTGAATAGACTTACACATCAAACTACTTCCTTGCTGTAAAGGCAATATTACTAAAGGGAACTGATTTTAGCGTCATGTTCAATGACATGACTTTATGAACCAGATAGAACTATTCTCATTGCAAGTCCTTCTACTTCATGAGAATTCCTTATAAATATTTGGCTTAATTTTTACAACCGGAAAACAGGCACAAACATTTAGATGACAGCCCCAGTGAGTAATACCTGCCTGCCTCAGGAGATTGTTCTGAGGATCAAATTACATAATATACAAAGAGCTAAGTAAACACAAAAAATGCTCAAGTTCCCACAGTAAGCCATAAAACCATGATTAGGTGATAGCCACCACATTCATTTCCTAAGACAATGCTGCTTGAGTGTTGATGTGACAGAAATCACCTGGAAATCTTGCCAAAGCACAGAAACTATCTGGGTAGGTCTGGAGCTAGGGCCGAGATTTGTGTATCTACCAATTGATGGAGGATGTTAGTGCCAGCTGTGGTTCTAAACAGCCATTCTAACTCCTGGTGCATGGTCAACATTAAAGGGCACTTTCCTGGGTATATCATAAAGCCCTAAAAGTGAGCTTTGAAATAAATCTGCACACCATTTGGCTGTGAACATAAGACTTTACAAATTCAAGAGCAAAATGCTCTTTCTTGCACAAAAAACTAATGGTTTGGTTTTGAATTACCTTGTCGGTAATTTCCAGCTTTCCAGGACAAGAGTCCTCAATAGACAACACAAAGCTATGTCAATAGTTTACAACTGTATGATTTCAGTTTACCTCCAAAGGATGGGGGGAAGTCTGTACTTGAGGTACACATATGCACACACACTCCCTACAAGGAAAATCTGGATTCTCAAAGACTCTAGGTTAACAGAAGACCAACTGTGTCTTCTATATAAAGAAAAGTTCTCACAAGCTGAGCAAACAAGGAACATGAAGAAATGCCATTACCTCCTGATAGAGAAATACTGTGCTCCAGATACAAAGTTGGGAGGGATGAAAAGAAGCCACCGGAGTCCACAGGCCAGTGGTTCTCCAACATGGTTCTCCTGGGAGGGTTGGGGAAAACACAGGTGGCTCAGGCCCCAGTGTTTCTGACTGAATAAACGCAGACCGATGTTGTGGGTCCATGGACCCAACTTCAAGCAGTACTGAATCCAGACTGCAACCTTCCCAAGGAGTGGGACTGCGTCTCACTCACAGATGTACCCCAGTGCCTACCACATAGAGTTGACTCCCAATAAATATTTGCCAAATGAATGAGCATTATAACTTCCATTTCTGGGAACAATTTTAACTATTTGCTTATGTATACTTGCTGCAGGCATCTTGTACACACATGCATTTAAAAAAAAAAAACCACACAGGTATCAGGCTGTATAACCTCTGTAACATTCAGGGGTTTAACGATTAAACCGACCCCAATCATAGATGCTAGTATCACACTTTTTTCTCAAAGTATCTGCACAGTTAATTTTGAGCTTTGTACCACTGTGGGGGGAGCAGACAACTTACCCATCCGAACAATCCTAAAGTGCAACTTTACTTGGGAAAAATGAACCAATTCCTTTCACACATATGTCAACAAAGAAAGAAAATTAGAATTTTCCTGGAGGGAACATGAGTATCTGTGTCCCTACTGAAGCCCAGCGATGGCTCTTCAAGGTCCCTCCCAGTGGCTGGACGGCAGAGGTCAGCACAGGGAGCAGACCCTGACGTACATGCTACAGTCTATGGGTTCTTCCCCGAGTCCTCTTACATTCTTCTCCCTTCCCTCTTAGTTGTTCAGAACAGGCTCAGGCAGTCATTTTTTTCAAACCTTTTTTGCCCGATCTGCATGTTGCCATAGTCACACTCATTCGGAAAAACAGGTGTTTCTGTTAAAATTAGCTGTTTCAAACTGCCAAATATTTTAGATCCCTGTGCCAGCTCAAAAAGAAAGTATAAAATAACCAATGAGATGATGCCTCCAGAATTATAAAGACGATAGAGGTTGGGGCAGAAAAAACACATGCACAATTACTGCATTTCCCATATCAACCCAAAGTGAATAATTAAGGCCAAACTTACAAAAGCCTAAGAAAGACAGGGTTGTGCTTTTTGGGGAGTTAAATCTTATGTTTGAAAGCCTGGACTGTCCCATTTTCTCAAGTAGACTGTCATAAATAATAGGTTTTGTTAAGTACTGAACCAAAGTGATTTTTTCCTGGCTGCTCTGAGGAACATGGTACTTAACACCCCTGGTCAGAATGGTATGCGTGTAGCCTGTGTATGAAACATTAAGTCAGAAGAACCCAGAGTGATATCTTAAATTATCTCTCCTGTCGTTTAATTCTGAGAGAAATAAGGCCAGCCTGATTTTCCTGGAACCAGAATCTCTGCTGACCTTATTAGACCCTATTATGAATTAGGTCAGAGATACTCCTTTTAAAAAATCAGGCAGTATTTAAAAAACAAGTTTAGCAACCTGGTATACTGGAAGAAAGTTTAAGTGCCAAAGACCTATGTCCAAGTCCCTTGCCTAGCCAGGCAATGCAGACACGGAAGTAATGTGTGCATGTTCCTTCTGGCTTCTTGAAACCAGCTAGGAAAAAATAGAAGCAGAATTCATTACAGACACCTGCTGAGGAAAAGAATCTTGAACTTTATCTCATAGATGGGAGGATGGGATGGGAGTTAGGGTTAAATATTACTGTTGTTAAAGTTTGAAATTTTATTAATTTGAGAAGATAGAGGTTGTTTTTAATATTACATACCCAGATCTTTCCTGTACTGAAACAATGAGAGCAGTTATCATTTGGCTAAGGGAAAGAGAAGATTCAAGATTAATCTGCTGACTAGCTGGTTAACTTCATCCAAGTTGATAGGGCAAGTAATTTCTTTTTGGCTTGAACTGCCCCCAAAACTACTGCTGCAAGGAACGAGTCCAGGAAAAAAACTGGCAATTCTTTTGTTCCTAATCATATACCAAATTTACAAACTTCTGGCCCTTCTTTTGGGTCTGCTCCTCTGAGTTACTCTCTGTGATCTGCACAGGCTCAATGAACCGTATGATTATAGATTCTATCCCTATTTATATAAACCCAATTAAGAATTTCTAGATGCATGTAGGATTGTCATTGGCACATAAATCCCACTTCCTCACCATCAAAATCTTCCTGAACCTGATCCAAACTACATTAGTGAAGGAGGCAAGGCAAACATTCTCAAAGTCATTTTTCATCTTTTACTTTAAAAGTTCAATCTAACCTGTTGTCCTTGCACTTAAACCTCCCTCCACTCAGGAGGCTGAGGCAGGAAGACTGCTGTGAATTCAAGGCCAGCCTGGGCTACATAGCAAGACCCTGTCTCAAAATACAAAACAAAACAAAAAGCTTAATCTACCAGGACCCAAGAGAAAAACTGCTCCCTTGACCATTTTAAAAGAATTATGTACCCTACAATTTTAAGCCTTTTCAAACTTTAAATTCAGAGCACTGAAATAGTCCTAGTCTTACCTAAAATAGGTAAAAGACATTTTACACATTGACTTTCATATCCTTGCAATAAACACAGCCATTCAAGTGAGTAGAACAGTCAATATAGCTTTCCTCTCTCTAATGTATTAGAGTGAAAAATTCTTTTCAGATCTGTGGGAGTGGCAAAGGTTTAAGCACAATAAATCCCAAGAAAAATGTAAACTTGACAAATTTCAAGCATGAATGAGTTTTTATCCATGTGGCCCTCCCAGGCTTCAAGAACTCCAAATAAATTTGTTATTCTTTTAGTAAGTTAAATGTTCAACATTTAACTAGGTGCAGCAAAACTATATACTCCACTATTACTACCCCCTCAAATCCTTTAAAAGTCTGCAGAGTGGCAAACTATCTTAACCTAACTCCAAATTTCAATCAACAAAGCATTCTTTCAACATAAAATTAACCACAGCATATCTTAGATCAAGGTCACAATAGTAAGCATTCTGCCTGCAACTGAGAGACTCAGAAAGTTAACACTTTCCAGAACATGCCTTCCTCTACTGAGCAGTTTAGGACCCTCTCTACTTTTTTCCTGGAGTCCTGGGGATCTCCTATGAATAACCTGTCTTCATACAGGCTGCTCCATATCTCACTGATGCACAGCCCTTCAAGGCCTGCAGGCAGAGCCTGAGCTGGGGGAAGGCCCGCGTCCCACTCAGGATTAGGAAGTGCTTTAATCTGCAAACGACAGGCAGAATACAAATCAGACTTTAGTGGCCTGATGCAGGGTTCATTATGGTAGGAAGATGAGTGAGACAAAGGCAGCTAAATTTCTTCCCAGTGAAACTCACACCAAGACAAAACCTACACTAAATGTCCATCCAACCGATCTGGGTCACCTGCCTTTAAAAAAACAGAATGGTACACACATTCATCTCTTCTGGATTCCTAGGCTCCGCAAAGGGATAATTCTTAGAAAAGTGGTGAGGGTTGGGAACTGGGGTCGCAGCTCCCACTCTGGAGTGGCCTTTTCCTCTGTCCCTCTCCAGAGTGACAGGCAGTATGCAAAACAACAGTTACTGGGAAGGCTTACAATAACTGCAAAGAGTCATCTGAGAAACAGAACATTTTAATAGATGAAATAAATACTCCAGTACATGCAAGGTAAAAACTTGACATTGGGGGGGAAAAATCACTCTATAGTGTAAATTAAAAATAAAACACACGCTCACAGTAGCTTTCCCCCGATTTGCAAATCACATGGTCAAGTCATACTCTTTCCACACCAAGTATACTAATTAAAAAAAAAAGACATACAAAAAGGTAGCTACATCCATGTCTAAGGAGTGAAAACTGAGGTAACCTTTCTTTTAATTAAAAAAAAAAAAATGAACCCATGAGCTCCTTCCTGCCCAATTAATAATCAATATAGTTGATGGGCTGGGCTGGGGCGAGGGGTAATACCGAAACCATTGCCCACTCTCCTCTGCTCCCACTCGGTGTGGCAAGGGCCAGGCAGCCTCTGGCCCGCCTTTCCGAGGATTCCTCTTGAGCACTGAACATCCGGGCGCAGGGCAGGGTTCACCTGTAATTTCTTTGGTATAAATGGAGAAGGGCAGAGAATAAGTGTCTTCCCTTGGCCGGGGGAGGGGGGGGCGGGGGCGGGGAATAAGGGGTTGGTGGGGGTGCTAATTCACAGAATTGGAATTCACTGGCGGTAAAGTCCTGGGCGAAGACCTCTCCCTTAAAGCCTGAGATAGCAGGGTGCAGCCTTCAGACACGGCGCAGGCCGAGCTCCTCAGCCTCTCCCTGTGGTCCGACGTCTTGGCGCCCCCGTCGGGGTGCTGCGCCAGATCCCTGAGGCACTGGGTCAGCAGCACGCAGGCCGACACCACGCTCATGGCGCCACCCAGGATGGCGGTCTGCACCGCCTTGCCCTCGGCGCTAACGGCGGCTGCTCGGCCCAGGAACTGTGGCTCGGTGGCGAAGCCCACCAGCGCGCCCACAGCCTGCACCAGCGGCCCACTGAAGAGGGCGCAGCGGCTTCGCGCCAGCTCGCTGGGCGCAGCCTTCACCTCTCTCACGCAGGCCAGCAGCGCCGAGGCGCACGTGCTCATGCACTTGACACCCAGCTTGAACTGCTCGCGCGAGAAGCGGTCCCGCGACTTGTCACTGGCCAGGGCACACGCATCCGTCAGGAACTTGAGGTTGCGCGACAGGCCCTGAGACACCTCCAGCAGCAGCTGCGGGGTCATGTCGGCCAGCGGGGTGGCCCGCAGCACGGCGCAGCCCTGCTCCACCTCGTGCCGGCAGCGGGTCACACGGTAGCGGTCCACCAGGCCCAGCTGCGCAGGTTGCGCTCCCGGCGTAGCCACCGCCGCCAAGTAGGCTGCGTGCGCAGAACACTCGGTTAGCGACACCACGAGGTCGCCCAGCTCCGCCAGGCTGTCCCCCGCCTCTCCAAAGCGGCCCATGTTGAGCTGGCTCTGGACGTCGTGGGTGAGGATGGAGAGCCCCTTGGTGCGTGCGATGATGGTGTCCCGGCACTGTTCGAAGGACTCGGCGCCTGCGCAGGCGGGACCCTCGAAGAGCACTGGCCGCGCCTCACTGGACAGCAGCAGCAGGTCCGCTACCAGCTGCATCTTGCTTTTGCAGTGGTCACAGACGGACACCAGCCTCTTCCGCCCGCCGACGGCGCCCGCGGGAGCCGGAGACGCGGCTTCGCCGGTGGGCCTCCCGGCGCTGCCGCTAGCCATCGCGCCCGGGGGGCACTGGCATGCCGCTGGGGACCCCGCTTCCGCCGCCGCCGCGCCCGCGTCTCGGCTGGCCCGCGCCTCGGCGCTGTGCGCGCGGCATCATGCCATCCACCGCGGCGGGCCGCGGGCGCGGGGCGGCTCTCGGGGGTGCGGCGAGGGGCTGCGGCGTCCGGCCTCCCGAGGGGCTCGCAGAGAGCATGAACCGGGCGGGGTGCACTCACAGTCCTCGCGCCTCGCCGCTGCTCCGCCCGGAAAGTCCCTTCGGCCCGGCCACCGCTGCCTTCCTGGGCATGGCCCGGCCCGGCCCGGCGCGGGGTGGGGAAAGCGGGACGGGGACGCTGGGAGTTGTCCTTCCTTCCTTCCTCTCTTTGAAACCGAAATCCTTTCCTCGGGAAGACGCGCGGGCTGCGCGCTCCGGGCCGCCCCGGGCTCTGCGGCGCACGTGGGCTTCAGACGCCGCGACTCTGGCGGGCGGCACCGTCCTGCGTCGGCGGCCGCTCCGGGCACATGTCCAGCCGCCCGGCCGGGGTGGGGAACGGCGCGGCGGCTGCTGCGGGCGGAGGGTGTGGTCCGCGGAGCCCTCGGCGGGCTCTGGGCTCACAGAGCGCGGCCCGGCGCCGCGGCACGCCCTCCCCACGCGCGCGCGTCCATCCCGAAGACCGGCTGAGCTCCCCCGCGGCCCCGCGCCCCGCGCATCGGCGCCCCGCGCGCGTCCCCGGCGTCCCCGCTCAGCAGGTCCCCGCAGCGATGAGGACGTCGGCCCGGGTCCCGGCTCCTGCCATGTTCGTCGCCCGCCACCAACTTCCGAGCGCGCGAGAGAGCTGGAAGGAAGGGCGGGACGAGGCCGGGGAGCGCGCCCGCCTCCGCCCGCTGTCCCCGAGCGCGGCCAGGCGCCGCCGCTCCTCCGCTCCGCGCGCCGCACCCCGGAGCCTATAGAAATCTTTTGTGTGGCGTCACCGCCTTTCGTTTAAATCCCGCTTCCTCTTCTCGCCCTTCCTCCGCCCCCTCGCCGCTCCCGGATGCTTGCGCGAGGCTCTGCTCCTCCCCCGGGAAGCGAGTGGCCCGGAGGACGCCGCTGCCCCCCCCACACACGCTGCGCAGCCCGGTTCCGGGCCTCCCGTGGTGCCCGGTGGAGGAGCTGGGGCTCCGCGCGCCCTCGGGGACCCTGGCGCAGCCGCCCGCTGGCCTTACGTAAGCTCTCCTCCGCCCCGAGCTGCTCTGAGGTGACCCGCGTCCCAGGGTGGAGGGCGGTGGCCACTCCACACCGGGTCCTGGCGGCCCGCTGGAGCCTGGCCTGGCTCTGTGGGACTTGGTTGGCCTTCCGAGCTCCCACGCCCTTTGTGGCACTGGATCTCTGCCTTCCTGGGTCCTGATGAGCTCTGAGGGGTGAGGAATGAGTGAAACAGCACGGGATCGGCTGTGGGAAGTGGTGGGGAGTTTAGGAGCAGATGCTTAGCTTCCTCCCTTTAACTGAAGGAGCCTTAGGCCGTCAGCGCGGGCTTTGAACCACACTTCCTGGGGCCAGTCTTTCTGCAGCCTTTATGAGTCCTGTGACCTTGTGCTAGTTCTCTCCAGGTGTCCATTGACAGCAGAGTCCCATAGTGTGCCCTTGTCCCTTGAGCAGCAGCCTTAACCGGCAGGTTGCCTCCTCATAACTTTATCTGTATAGTGGAATAATAGTGGCCATTTTTGGAAAAGAAGATTCCCTTTGGAGGTAAACATTATTGCCTCCTTTTTACAGCTATCAAGACAGACGGTCAGATTCCTTGAGGGACTTCGGAAGGTCAGGAGACAGCAGAAGCCCATCCCGCCTCAGCCTCTGGCTCCCTCAGACCAAGAACTGCATGAAGTGGCTGGCTAGGAGCTTCCTCTGCACAGGTGCCTGCCCCAGGTCTCCTGAAATAGGCCCAGTCACACTTCTGAGACCCCAGGCCCACTTTTCTCAGCCAAACGTGTTACTTATGGCTAGGGTGACCTTCAGTTTTATCATCTAAGCCCAGTTTGAGACATGCTGATAACAAGCTAACCAGGATTGAGACCTGGTTACCTGAGGGGAGTAAACTCCAACCTGGATGGATTCTCACTCTACTCTCCCTAGAGATCCCCCAGAATCTACCTGAACTAGTTTACTTTGCAAAGTGAAGTGGATAAAATGGATGACATTCTAGACAAGTTGCAATTCTGTAGAGTTAATCCCTTTTGTTGTTCTACAACAGAAAAACAGTTGGGCAAGTCAGACTCTCTCCATGGTAACCCAAGAACAGCACCTCAGACCTTAGCTCTAAATTCCTGCAAGGAAGAGGTCAGCCCTTTCTCCCTCTGCTTAGTTCATGTGCGTTTTGATTTTCGGGTTTTTTTGGTACCTGGGATCGAACTCGGGACCTTGCGCTTGCGAGGCAGGTGCCGGAACCACTGAGCTAAATCCCCGGCCCCCTAGTTCATGTGTGGAACTGCTCTACGATCAGATCTTTTCCCCCAAAGCCATTTGGTGCCCCTGAAGTTCTGTCTCCCTTTCATCCTACTCTACAGGTTGTTTTGTGACTGTTGCTGGGAGTGTCCAGCATTAGCCAGGAGCTGTGTTGCACGCAGACTGCCCTCCTCTAGTCTACAGGGTTTCCTTCAGCTTTTGCAATTGTAGGCAGTGTTTTCCAAACCCTCCTTGCTTAATTTTTAGACAGGGTAGCTCCAACAGAACTGATCCTTCCAAGTGCTACCTCCACCTGCCTCGAGGTTCTCCTTCTCTTCCTGCCATTGTCCATTCACTCCACAAACACTGGGCATCTGCCAACTGCACTGAGCCCCAGAGTTACATAATAGGTAATAGGAGGCCTCTCCCCATGAGATTTGCATCCAAGAAGAGCAAGAGATTCACAAACAAGTAGTCCAAATTCTACCCTTTGCACAGTGAGGGCAAAAAAACTACAGCAGGGATAGTGTGGATTGCAAATACTCCTGTGGCCATTAGTCTTGTGATTCATCCTGACCACTGAAAGGTCAGTGGAGGGTATGCCTGCCCCTCCAGGCTGAGGCAATGGAAGCCGACTTGATGTTCTCCACTCTTTTTCTGGCCTTGCTGTATCTGCAAGGAGACTAGGATGAGTTGCCACAAGCCGAGCAGCTGCCTGGAGCGGACCCCTCAGAGCTGTACTGGATGTGTTGTGAACACAAAGTGAATTTTTGTTGTGTGAAGCCACTGAGCTTTGAGCATTGTGTTGTTGCAGCATAATTTAGTATAATTTGAGAATAGGAGAGGCCTTATTTATCATGTCTTTTCCTAGAGTCACTGGGTTAACAGCTTTCTATAGAAAACGCCACCTTATCACCCCCTCTCTCTTTAAAATTAAAAGAAACAAAAATACCATGCAAAGTATGTGCTATGGTATTAACCTCCCCGTTCATATTTTCAGAATCACCCATGTGATGGTGTTAAGTGGTGGGGCCTTCGCGTGGGCGGGGGGGGGGGGCGCAGTGCTGAAGATTTGAGGGTGGAGCCTGCGTAAATGGGATTATGCACCCATGAAAGAGGTGTGAGGGAGTTGTGCACCCTTTTCCTTTCGCCCTTCTGCCGCATGAGGATGCAGCAACAAAGCACTTTGTATGAAGAATGGGCCCTTGCCAGATCCTGACCCAGTAAGCACCTTGATCTGGGACTTCCTACCCTCTAGAATGGTGGTGGCAAACCAATGGCATGCGTGCTATACTGGGCTGTTTGTATCATTGAAAGCTCTAAAAGGATCACCATCACTGCTCTAGAACTTCAAGAAATAATTTTCTGTTGCTTACAAATTACTCAGCCTGTGACATATTTGTTGCAGCTGCCAACATAATAGAGTTGGTTGAAAATTATTCAATGAATACTGAGGCTAGTTCATCAGGGTTGGATGTGAAGAGGCTGTTTCCAAAGTCTTGAGTATCTCCGGATAAAAACCATGTATCCTAAAGAGGAAAATAGTTGTGAAGATGATGGAAGTTTCAGTTAGTTATCATGAATGGACTCAATATTCTTCACTTCCATGGACATCATGAGAACAAACCTGGAACAGGGGACTGAGTGCTAACTGGGGGAGGTAAGCAGAACAGACAGAAGTGGCTGGGGCTGCACAGGGAGTGACCTGGCTCCTGACTCATCCTCAGTGCTGGATGGAGGCCCACATTAAGTAGACATCTGATAAAGAAGCAAAAGAGCCAGATGCAAAGAGGGAACTGGCTGAGGGTTTAGCCAAGAAGGGCATTGCTGCCAGAGTTTGGGAGTGGCAGGATTGGAAGCCCCCTAACCCTCTCACCTGTTCCAGAGGGATATCCACCAAATGAACTTCAAGCAGGTATATGAGAACAATTACCCTCTTTTCCCCTAGCACCCATCATTCTACTTTCTGTCTCCATGAATCTGATTCTAAAAACCTCATTCAAGTGCAATCATATTTGTCTTTTTGTGACTAGCTCATTTCACTTAGCATAATGTCTTCAAGATTCACCCATATCCTAGTATGTGTCAGGATTTCCTTTCTGAATAATACTCCATTATATGTCCTCTGTGTTCTGATACTCAGCTTTCACCCTGCACTCAGACTTTGTGCACCAACAACCAGGCTGTGCTGGGCACACACTGCCACCTGGTGGTCAGTTTGTTCCTCACCACACCTCTTCTTAAGGCCAGTGGCCCTCTGTTGTGTTTGTGCTCTCCATGGGCCATTTCCATCTCCAGAATTTCTTGCAAATATGCAAACATCACCCTTTATTGCTGTCCTTTCAGTATCTGTAGAATATAATTCTACCCCTCCTATTTTAGCCACACAAGTATGACTGAAAGTCCTTGGTTCACATGGGACCAGTCACTGTCCTTAGCTGGTGTGTCCTGTTTCCTGGCATATTTTGTTCCCATCCATTAAGAGCATGCATGAGGCAGGACCTCACCCACTACTTCACCTCCCCACTCCCACAGCCAGCTGCTGCCTCCTTGGCCAGCTGGAGATGGGATGAGAGGGAGGCTTATGTGTTTCCTCATCAGAAACACCTGAGAACTCAGGTCCCAAGACCTGGGAGATCTGGAGTGTTCTTCTGTCACTTGCCAGCACACCTTATGTGGAAGTGAAGGTTGCATGCATAGATTAATAAATTCTGTGTCCTCTTTCTCTAGTGGCCAGTGATCTCTGGATAGTTTCCATTTTTCAGAGCCTTGGAGAAGAGAAATGAGTACTAGGATTCAGGCACCCTAGACTCTGAACACAAATCATGCCTGACCACTTTTGGATCTCTCCCAGTGTACCACCTGGGCAATAACCAGAGTAGAAGGATTTATTGTCACTTCCCTTGGAGCCTCTGGTCCCCTTGGGCATTTCTGACCCCTTGTGTCAATTGGTGCAGCACACACAGCTTCAGTGTCACTACTGGCCTCTTGAGTTTGTAATGGATGGTGTAACTCTGTCCCCACAACTTGTTATCTCTTGAGGGGAGGGACTTGAGCCAGGTGTGGTGGTTCATGCCTCTAAACCCAGTACTCAGGAAACTGCAGCAGGAGGATCATGAGTTTGAGGCCACGCTGAACTACATAGCGAGACCTTGTCTCAAAAAATAAGAAAGGACAGGAACTTGATCTACTGGTGCTCACATCTAAGGTATTGCATGGTCATCAATAAGTGGTTATAGAATTCATTCATTAAACCTCTCTGCAGATAAAAACAAGTCTCTTTATTGAACCAGAATCTAGATGTCCACAATTTTTACTCAGCCATAGTCAGAAGGGTATGGACAGTCATGAAATAGTGTAGGCCCAGCCTGTGGGTGGTCATGGTCACAATTACATCACCTCCCCCATCCTCAGTCCACCCCCAAGCCCTCCCTTGTGCCTTCCCACTGTTCAGCCATCAAAGGCACAAGAGCCTTACCACCCTAAGTATTGGTAATTATGCCATCCTAGGTTTTCTGCATGTTGAATGTCACTCCTGCCTGATTTCAAAGTGCTAGAAACTCTTCCTTCACCCTCTTGAGGACACAAGCTAGGATGGCCCAGATTAGGATATTAATTAGATCTGAGAAACAGTTTTCTTCTCCATGGAGGTGGGGACAGAATTAACCCCATGCATTCTTTGGCTGTGGCCACATAGTTTCCTTCAAGCCTCTTCCTCCTGTCCAGCACTGGATGGCATGGTCTTGGACCTGGTTCTCTCTCTGGCCCATCTGCATACCCCTGGCTCCAGACTTTTCAGTCCATTTCCATGGGGCTCCCTGTGACACTGTGTAGAGTACTTCACTAGTTAGCCCAGATGAGCCTTGGTGAGGGGGAGCCACCAAAGAAGAACTCACTGTCCCCTACACCAGGGTGCGGATATTTGTCCTGCGACTACTGTACTGGCTATGTGGCCTTGGGTGAATTATGCAATTCCCAAACCAGGATTTCCTCTTAAAATACAGATATCATCATTATCACATCATCCCTCCAGGCCCTGACCTCCTGTGAACTGCATTACATTTACTGCATATTGTTTACTTCCCCTGCTACTCTCAAACGTCCAAGAGCAAGGAGCACAATTGTTATATTCATGTTTGCATCAGTGCCTCCCTTGGTTCTTGGTTTAAAGTAGGTTGTTAATAAATAAATTCCTCAAGAGTTGAACCAAATCACGTTCCAAAACACTGAAATGTATTTAAAATCTCAAAGTGTTGAGAAGGCAGTGTATCCAGATGTTTTCACATCAGTGGATTCTAAGCCAAAAGAGTTTCCTCCTTAGATGAAAGTCAGTAATCCTGGAACATTTTACCCAATCCCAACAGCTTCTGTAAGACACAAAATGACTTTTTTTTCTATAACTAGAGCCCATGGGCCAAGAATTCCAGTGCTTTTGCACCTTAGCTTGGCAGCTGGCAGAATAAGTTACCAGGGTGACCCCTCCCAACAGCACATGATCCACACAGCTGCACATGTTTTTTAGCATGACTGCACCAGGACAGAGCTCCAAGCCACTGGGTGGAGCAATGTGCCCTTGGGAGGGAGCTCATGACATTTCCCCTATGATTTCAGAAAGAAAAAGAAAAATCTTCTTTTCCTTAGAAGTTGTTTCTGCTCAGTGTCAATAGGAAACAGCATAATGTTTACATATACGCAGGCAGGAATATGTAGAATATCACCATTGCAGTAGGAGACAAACTGCATCAACCTTTATGCAACTGAAACTTTTATCCTTTTCCCTTGGTAACAGAATCCCGATTGTACTGGGCTAACAGTGCATACAGCTATCCGACTTATTTCCCAGTTTCTCTTGGAAAGCCAGGTTCCAGCCAATGAGATCAGAATGTCATGTGCAGCTTTGAAGAAGAATGCTTAAAAGAAGTTGACCCCTGCCGGGGATTTAGCTCAATGGTGCCGCATTTGCCTCGCAAAATCAAAATCCTGAGTTAGGTCCCTGGTACCAGAAAAAAAAAAAAGTTGACCCCACTGAAGAGTATGTTCTGCTTGGCTTGATTTCCTTCTTCCTCTGGTTGAATGTCATGTAGATGGCTGGAGCTCCAGTAGCCATCCTGGAACTTGTGACCATCAACCCTAGATACTGTTTTCTACCTGCTTCTGGGAAAGAAATATTGGTCACAACAAAGACACTATCTTTTTGAACTTTAAAAAGTTAGTGTTCTATTATATGAAGCCTGTTAATCACCTCCATACAAAGCATGAAGAAAGGTTTACTGTTGCTCTTCTCTAGCTGTAACAGTAGAAATAGGTAGTGAGTGCACGGCAATAGGGAGATAAGCCAGTAAGCCGCTGGTGTAACAATATTGAAGAATATTATGTAAACATACAAAGAATCAAAGTTGAAGAATTTTGGAAAACCCCGAGGTGCCCAGTACGCTTAACGATTCATAGAGCAGCTGCGATATACACTTAAAATGCAATAAATGCAACAAAACCGCTTTTTGAGATACAATGTTACTTGCAAGGGTATGGGAAAAAATGTGTGCAATGTGTGACAAACGTAGCTGTGGTCAGTGTGCCGCAGAGTCCTGGGTTCTGTACTTTAACTGAGTGTTTGACAGTATCACTGAGTGTTCATTTCTTCTTACGTATCCACCATTTAAAACTCGTGGAATTTTAAAGCATCTCTGGCAACATTTTTTAAAGAGATAAAAAGTAGCACGATTCAGCCTTGAAAACGACTAGTTAGAGCCCCAGTATTAGGCTGAAATCAGGAGACCGACTGAAGCTATTTCAAACAATGGAAATTGTTTTTTAAAAACGAGAGCCTGTCGGAGTTCGGGGGTGACAGCAGCACTGACAGCTAGGTGCACTGCTCCATCTGTTACGCGCAGGACACCGAGGGACCTGTTTGTGACGTTCTGGGACAAGTTGCTGTCCCGCCGCTGACTTCTAAATGGCTGTTCTCAGAAGAAGCTGCAGGAGGCCCAGGGGAAGCAGCACCCCAAAAGGGCTTTGTCACAGCCGAGGCGGCTGCCAGAATGACGTCCAGCGCCAGTTCACTTCACCGGCGAAAAACCGAGGCTTGCTTGACAGCTCCTGAGGCCCAGCGGGGACTTGTGGACACAGCTGGTGAGTTAGAGAAAAAGCTAGCCTCCAATGGAAAACGGAGAGCTCACTCTGGGGCGACCCAGCGCGGGTAGAGCGCCCGGGCAGGCCCAGGGAGGAGCCCGCGAGCCGGGCCCCAGCTGGGCGGGGCCCAGGCTGGGTAGGATTCGGGAGGGTGGGGGTGGAGGAACGGGGACGGGGCTGGTACCGATTGGACAACCAGTGCCGGAGGGCGGGGTGGGGCGGGGCTTCCGGAGGGGGATGGAGGAAGGAGAACGGGGGGGGGGACCGATAGGAGAGCAAGGGGGCGGGGCCCAAGCAGAGCCTGTCGGAGGCGGGGCCGGAAGCTGAAGCGGGCAGGGCGGGGGCGGGGCCGGAAGCGGGGGCGGCTCAGAGCGAGGGGCGGACCTGAGAGTTGGGTGGGCGGGGTCATGAGGCCCGGGACGGGCCCGGGAAGCCCGTCACGGGCCGGAAGCCGGGGACGAGGCCGGAAGCCAGCACAAGTCCGTCATCCTGCGCTCATCCTGCGCGGCGCGGCTCAGCGAAGCGAAGATGGCGGCCTCCAGGTGGGTGCGTTTCTCCTTGCTCCTGCTTTGGGCCTTTGACCTTCTGCTGCTGCTGCCGCCACCTGGAGGTTGCGCAGAGGGCCCGGCCGGAACGACCAGCGAGGCTACTCCACCTCCACGGAAGAAGAAGAAGGACATTCGCGACTACAACGATGCGGACATGGCCCGTCTCCTGGAACAGTGGGAGGTCCGCTGCTTGCGCGCGCTCTTCCAGCTCTTTGACCTCCTTACCCTCTGCCTTGGGACCCCTGACCCTTGACCCCCTTTGCCGAGCGCTGTTAACCCACACACACTCGAGCACCACCAGCCTTCGGGGCTTCCCCCGACTCCCCGAGCCCTGCAATCCCCGCCCGGCCCTCTCATTCTCCTGTCCTCTTTCCTTTCGTTCTTCTGGCCCTCAGTCATAGATCGCCCACGCTCTTCAGTCCTGCTTTCCCTTCGGCTTTCTGGTCGCCTCTGTATATTTGCCTGTGGTCGGTGAGGCCTACATGGGGAAAGAGCCCTTTTCCACTGCACTGCCGAAGAGCCCTTTCCTCCTCCAACCCTCTGTGTTCCGGAGGGGGCCGGGTGGTGGATGAGTGGGTTGTGGGAGTGATTATCTTTCAAGAGATTTACTTTAGCTTTGATAGTTACCCTGTCCTAGAAATCAGGATTTCTGACTTCTCATTTTGCTGTGAGAATTCTGCTGAGAATTTTGTCGTTTAGTGTAGATTTATCTTGTTGGGGGTAGCAAACTCTGGTGGCTCTTTGTCATGAAACTCAAAAGTTTTGTTGAGAGGGGCAATGACTTGTGGTGAGAGTAAGTTTTCTGGTTTGTTACTTAGATACACCGGAGTGTACAATTGCGGGGTGTGAATAGACTTATTTAAGGTAAAGTTCGCTGACAGAAACTGCATCGCTGCCTCTTTTCCTTCCTAGTAGTATGTCCTAGCTGATATGCACAGCTGGCCGAGTGGACCCAGAAACTTGGATTCTCCTTAGTGTAGCCTTGGCAGGTCATGGCTCCCTTCTCAGCCTTGGTTTCCTTATCTGAATGACTTCTGAGGATCCTTCTAAAGCTGATTTTTGTTATGGCGAGATTATCTCTGAGAGTGTTGGTTATAGGAAGGAGGCAAAGACTTTAGGCACGAGTTGAATACCTCCTGATGCATTTGACGAAGAAAGCACATGTGTGTTTTCCTGTTTATCTATAGCTACTGGAATGATTGGAGTACCTTTGAGTGCAAGCATACAATTGGTTTTTTTGGTACCGGGGATCGAACTCCAGGCAGGCAGTGGAACCACTGAGCTAAATCCCCGGCCCAGCATACCACTGTTGAAGAGGGCTCTTTCCCATTCTTGTCTCCCTTTCAGACTCCCTGCCTTTTTTGGACTCTGCCAAAGTGAGAAATCCTGCCCTGGAAGTACTTGGACTGAGCTAGATGAAGAGGGTGTTGTAGAGATGAAGAAAGGAACCATCAGGGGCAGTAGATAACAAAAATAACGTTAATACACACTAAAAATAGCTGAACTCCATGAAAATGCAGCTTTGTGGGAAACTCTGAGGATTGCAGGGAGGAAGTGGCATTTTAGGTAGGCCAGGGAAAATGTGGGGCAGTGCCATTTAAGACTGGTTAAGGTAAGTGTGGGAGAATGGGACTTCTTTTTTTTTTTTTGGTACTGGGGATCAAACTTGGGTCCTTATGCTTGCGAGGCAGGCGGCAGAACCACTGAACTAAATCCCTGGCCAGAATGGGACTTCTAACAGCAGCATGAGCTGATGATGAAATGTGGGAACCAGGCAAAATAGTTCAAGGATTAAGCCTGGGCTCTGGAGTTGGACTGTGCTCATTCCACTTAAATTTGTGGATCTACACTGGTAAAGAACCTCTCTGATCTTTAGTTTCCTCTTCTACAAAATGGAAATGTTACTAGTGCCCACCTCAGCTGCAAAAATTAAGAAAAGGACAAGAAATTAGAAGAGCGCATCTCATTGATCAGTATGAAGTCATCTTACCCACATATTAAAATACAGGAGTGTTTATATTTAATCATCTGTAACCTTATCTCAAAACATAACATACAATTTTTTGAGTGACTTTCTACATGCAGGCATAATTTTTAAAGCTGAAATAAAATAGATGGATTTTTTTTGCTGTTCAGTTTTTCCTTTGATTCAGTTTTCCTACTGATTCCCCCAAATTACTGCATTGTCTTTGTCTTCATAGTTGTGCCCTTAAGCAGCTTCAGAATATGCCCTGGAGAGGTGACACTGTTGTCACTCCTCACCTTCCTCATGTAGGTGTGGAGAGTTACTTTCACTTGCCCAAGGCCATACAGTTTAAGAGCTGGAGCAGGGAGCTAAATCCAGGCCCCTCTGACAGCATGACCTGTGTTTCAGGGCAAATAAGCAGATCAGCTTGAGAGGATGTAGAGTTGAGGACAAAGTTGGCAGGCTTTGTGTGATTGCTTGGGCTCAGGTCTGCTGGTTCTGCTTTTCCTTTTGTAGATCCAGAAGCAGGTCAGGAGGAGTAAGGAATGTCACCTGTGGTCACACAGCTAGCTTGAAGAGCTGAGACAGGATCCCAGGTCTGATGTCAGTGTGGATTGCCTTCAAGCTTGGCATTAGACTTCTTTCCTTCTCACATTTTATTAAAATAACAGCAACCCACTGTGTTATGGTTGGTGTCAACAGACTGACCTCCCCAGAGAGATGTCAAAAGAATGGAGAGCATACTTACCTGGCAGGGGAGATACCATGATCACAATCAAGAATGGAGAGCAAAAAGAGGCTTCATGTTTCTTTTAGGTTGGCTTTTTGGTAACAGCTTTCTTGAGAAATAACTCCCATGACATACACACTTCACAACCCAGCCATCTCAGTGGTTTTTAGATTATTCAGTTAAGCAACCATCACTACGGTCACTTTTGAACATTGCATCTTTTGAAAAAGAAACCCTCAGCTACTCCTCTCGCATTTTCTCCTAGCCCCCAGCCATCCCTAGGCGACCACTAATCTCATTTCTGTCCCAAAGCTTTTGTCCCATTTGGACGTTTCCAACAAATAGAATCATGGAATGTGTGGACTTCTGTGTGTGGCTCTACCTCTCAGCGTAATGTTATCAGGGTTCATCCATGTAGCATGGGTCAGTCAGGACCTCTTATCTTCTTGTTATTGCAGTTTCCCTTTTCAAGGAACCTGGTTCTTTTTCCTTGTTGTACTGGAGATTGAACTTGAAACCAAGGCCTTTGCACTAAGCTGTATCTCCAGTCCCTTTTTAAAATTTTGAGACAGTCTTGCTAAGTTGCCCAGATGGGGCTCAAACTTGCCCTGGCCTCCTAGAGTGCTGGGATTACAGGCATGCAGTGTTGTACCTGGCTGGAGCCTCATTCTTTTAAATATTTTTTTAATCTGTCTGCTGATTTTTGTTCTGGTTATTAGTTTACATTCCACTGTGAGCAGTTCATTTGTTTGCATCAGCATAAATTCGCTGGATCTTCCTTTATTGGGGGAGTTAGAAGTCATTACTGTTACTTATTATGATGTTCATCTTATTTCTGATTTGCTCATGAGCACTGCCTCAGGTTGGTGTCTGCCATTTTGACATATTCCATGATTCATTGAGCCCTTCTTTGCTGTCTGATACAGGAAGATATTCTAGGCTCCTCTTCTATTTTCTTTGCTGTAATTAACCATTCCTCCAAGGAACCCCACTTTGAAATATTTTTATCCTTGCACTCATCTGTCTACCTGTCAGTCTGTTAAGAACACTGAATTTTTTTGGTGCCTCTAGTTCATCCTAAACCACGTACATTCTTTCTCCTTCCATATTTGTGGCTTCTTTTCCAAAACTGAGGAACCTGGCTTTCATTGTCCCCAGTGTGTCTACACCTCTGGTCCAGCCTACAATTGACAGAAGGTGGTGTGAGAATTGCTAGCACATGGCACTGCAAAAAACAAACATGCTAACTACAGTTAATAATTTGTGCACAGTGAAATGCAGATTTTAGGTATATGGTGAGTGTATACATGTGTGTGATCTACACACTGATGGAATGCAGAGCATCCCATCAGCCTGGGAAGCTCCTGTGTTTCCTCCTCGTGGTCCCCTGCCAGCAGCACCCATTGTTCTCCTTCCTGTCCTCCCTGTACTGTGGCTCTCCTTGAACTTTGCATGGATTGTATGGTGCATCTTATGTAGTGGCCAGCTTCAGTCACTCAGTATTGTTGGGATTTATTGTATGTATCAGAATTTGTTTCTCGGTGCTGGGTCATTCTTGTATAACCGTACTGGAGTGTAGCCATTTTTATAATCACATTGGGTAGATTCTTTGAGAGTAAAAAGTTGTGGAAACCCTCACATGGGCTCTCAGGAGTGGTATCTGGGCTGATGATGGGCAGTAGGTACTGCCTGAAACAGGCTTTGCTCACAAGTCAGGAGGAAAGCTCTGGGGCTGTAGGCTGAACACCTCTGTGTGTGCCGGTGTGTTTGCCTGTGCTGGTTGAAAAGCAAGGTTCTGATGAACGGTTTGATGCTTTTCCCCATCTTGCCAGAAAGATGATGACATAGAAGAAGGAGATCTTCCAGAGCACAAGAGACCTTCAGCACCTGTTGACTTCTCCAAGATAGATCCGGGCAAACCTGAGAGCATCCTGAAGATGACAAAGAAAGGGAAGACACTCATGATGTTTGTCACTGTATCTGGGAGCCCCACGGAGAAGGAGACAGAGGAAATCACAAGCCTGTGGCAGGGCAGCCTGTTCAATGCCAACTATGATGTGCAGAGGTAAAGGCCTGTGGCCTCTGAGGGCTTTCCGAGTCTGCACTGTGGTGTCCTTATCTAATTTATCATTTGACCTTCAAGTTTTACTTATCCTTATAGCTTTCATTTTAATTCATCTGACTGAAAAGCTGTGTAGCTTAACTTGAGTGGGGGACAGATGCGAGGCAGGTTGACACTTTGTTGCCATGGACATTTCTGCTCGGTGGGGACTGCCTCTGAGTGTGACTGTGTTTACACATGGAACTTGCAGGTCGTCACTAACAGATGACTAATTTAACATGCAGGGACCTTTTACACAGCTTAGCTGGTCCTGAAGTTCCATTGGAAAGCATCTGCTTTCCCCCTCAACCAGTTATGAAATTTAGGATCTCACATATCGTAACTGAGGAACTGAGATAATCAGAAAGCTTTTGTTACTTTACACAGACACTTGGAACGAACCTGTCTTGGTAATGACTGGTCAGTGTGAAAGGTAGAAGCAGGGTGGTATTCCCCGGAAGTGGCAAGATCATGCTTGTTGGCTGTGCCAGTGGGCCACCCAGGCCTCTTTCTGTTCTCCCACTCCTGGACCTGCTGAGTGTCACCAGGCCGGGGTGCCTGCCAGGAACTTCTACAGTTGGGACTTCTGTCAAGTTGCCCAGTGTCCTCTTGGGCCTTGAGGGCTTCTTACCACGAGCTTTCCTGAGCCAATGTTTTTAGCTTTTAGCAGTAGAATCTTTTTGTCTAATAAATAACTGGATGCTTCAGAATATAAAACAAGCAGGCAGCCCCTCCCACGCCACCCCCAGCTGCCCTGCAGCACTCATGGAGCTTGTCTCAATGTTCCCTGAGCAGAAGTCTCCACTTGCACCACAGAGCAGTGTCTGTCTGCTTTGATTCCAGCAGGTGTCTAATAGTTCAGCAAGCCAATATTTTTAAACTTTAAATCTCCATGGCAATTAGGCCCTGAAAAATGCATGTTTTTCTTCTGTATTCATGTGGAATTTGCAGTGAACTTTTTCAGATTAAGTAGCACCAAGACACCCTGACCCATTAGCACCTTATTAGTTTGTGCTAACTGTCTGGTTGCATCTCTGTCCAGGTTCATTGTGGGATCAGACCGGGCCATCTTCATGCTTCGGGATGGGAGCTACGCTTGGGAAATCAAGGACTTTTTGGTCAGCCAGGACAGGTGTGCTGATGTCACTCTGGAGGGACAGGTGTACCCTGGCAAAGGAGGAGGAAGCAAAGAGAAAAATAAAACAAAGCAAGAGAAGGGCAAAAAGAAGAGAGAAGGGAATTCAAAATCACCAGCCTCAAAGGAAGACAACCGAGCTGGGAGTCAGCGAGAAGACCTGTGACAGTGCTGCTCCCCAGGGAGCAGAGGGACAAGGGAGCCCCTTGCTGGACTCCCAGGTAGGGTGGGTGCTGCACACCTGGTGACATTCTTGTTCTCCAAATGGTCAACCACATACCGTTGTGAAGCCTTCAGGGATGGAGGCAGAGGTTTCCAGATTAATAGCAGACACTGACAGATTCATGTTCACTCCAGAATCACCGACCAAGGAACCTGACTGTGTCACTTTCCCATTAGACCTGGTGGGTTATTGACTGCCAGGACTGCTGCCTCGCCTCGCTGCTCTGCTCTGGTGCCGTGCTATGTCTGCTTCTAATTTCCTGTCGACCAAAAAGATAGCAGGTTTTGTTCCAACAAGCTTTTAAAAGTCTTGGCTTCGTCAAGTCAGACTGTTGAGCCACAACCATCATTTGTATCACAGTGAAAGTAAAATGGGCCCTGGTATTTGATGTGTCAGTCACCAGGAAGCTGGGTGTATGAACCCATCCCTGCAGGAAGTGTGGGAGTGGAAGCAGTGCCACTCAGTGTTTACTCGGGATGTCACTAACTGAAGTTCCTGTCCTCAGCTGGAGGGAACTCTTGCTGTCTGTCAGGTCATGTGGCTTCTTTATGGAGGATGGAATGAGACTGCTGTAAAGTATGTGAGTGGGGACCAGCAGAGCCCCAAGCAGGTGTGGCAGAAGACAGGACAACCTCATTTACAGTGTTCTAGACATTTCCTTTGATAAAGTGCCTAAACTTGTGATGTTTTTGTATGATACTAACTTGATGTGTTGCCATTCATGTCTGAAGTTTTGCCATTCGTACATGGGAGCTGACTCCGAAAAAGAGGACATTTATATGCAGATACCCATCCTTTTTAGGAGTTTAAATTCTTTGAAAAAAAAACTTTAATTATGGTTTTAAGGCATTAAAAATAACAAATGTACATGTACGTGGTTAGAAAATGTCACTGTTAAAGGGTGGTACAAAGTGGAAACTGTCCCTGCCACCAGTACCTTGTCCCTTGTCCCAGTGGAGCCACTGTTCATAATTTGTTTCAAAAAAAAGAAACATATTTGCCAGCTCACAGTGGTGTGCTTTGGCCTTGCTCTTCTGCCTTCCTAGACTCGGAGCCACACCTTCGCTCCTCTCTCCATCTCAGCTGGGAGCACAGTGGGCTACAGGCTGAGGTCTGTGTGACCCAGGCCTGGGCATCAGGCCCAGTCAGCCCAGCCTGGGAGTTGTGCGTGAGTCCCCTCGGGAGCAAGTGTTTCTTATTTCTGGTGCATTTTGAGCCTGGGAGGATGAGAGGCTGGAGCAGCTGCAGCCACCTTGCTGTTTGAGGGTGGAGCTATCACAGACAGCAGCAGAAGCGGGTGCAGTGCCGCACCCTGGTATCCACCAGGGTCTGAAACAAGCCCTGTTCTTCAGTTTTTAGAGTAATTTGCTGGGTTCTATGCCCATAACAGTCCAGGAGGGAGTTAACTGCTGGTTAGTTCTAATTATGCAGGAAGGATGGGGCCTCCCCACTCCCCTGCAATGGTGCCCACTTCAGCACACATCTCTGACCCTGCTTCCTGTCCCCAGGGTCTGAGCATCTGCTGGGTGCCATGCACTGCTGGGGCAGTCAGGTACAGCCATGCTGTGGTGGAGCTTTGGTCAGATGGCCATGGCGGGAGTGGGCAAGAAGTATTGGGGCAGAATCCAGAATCAGTGTTTCCTGTCTCACCCTTCTGCTGACACCCCGGGGGAAGAGATACCCTGTCTTCCAAGCCTGAAACGCTCTGCAGACTCAAGAGGAGAAGGAAAATCAGGTTTCTGATGAATTGGTCCTCATGCTTTTAATGTTTAGTGATCGAATAAATTTGGATGATGTAATCAATTTTGAAACATGACAACTTCATTAGATATGTACATCTTTCCACATTCCTCCTAAGGCCCTCTACTGTGTTTTTTTGTGTGTTGAAGGGAGTGAATCCAGAGAGCACTGAGCTACACCCCAAGCCCCTTTATGACATTTTTATTTTGAGATAGGCTCTCAGTAAGTTGCCCAGGCTATCCTTGAATTTGGGATCCTCCTGCCTCAACCTTGCAAACTGGGATTACAGGCATGGGCCACCACCCTTGGATAATCCTGTGGCTTTTGAGTTCTGCTTTTATTTTTAGTATTTCTGGTGGTTTCTTTAATGACGTTAAGCCTTTTTCTTTTTTAATTAACCTATGTAGCATGTGTTCAGGACTAGTCAAGATGAAGGAGTTTGTGAACTCCTGTCACCCAGTTGTTTAGTAGTGTTTATTCCACACTGATGTGGCACATAGTATTCTGTAGCCATGGTGTCAGCCTTTGTGCTCCAGTGACAGTGTTGGGGGTGTCATCTGGGTTTGCTTTTTCCCTAGAACTTCAAACCTCGCTCAATTGGAGAGATCTGAGGCCATGCTTGTCTTTCCTCTGAGAAAAGACTGCATTTTCTATCACATTGTAGGAATTCTCTCTTAACAGTAATTTTGCTAGGAAAAGTCTTTTTTTTTTAATCATAAAACATGATATGCCTTACTGCAATATGCCTTATTGCAGATTCAGCTTTTTCTGTTTTTTTCCATTGTTTTGAAAAAATGCACTTTCTATTTTTGTTTCTAACTTATTTTTTATTGGTACATTTTAGATACATATAATAACATTCATCTTAGAGAATTTGTAGTTGTACAGGATATATCTTGGTTTTGTTGTTCCCCACTTCCCTCCCCTCCGTTCAACCCTTCCCCTCCTTACTTACAAAAGCTTTGTTTCCATTTTCTTTTTTCATCGCTTCCTTTCCCTCTCTCCCCTTCCTTGTTCCCCTTCTCATTTGAACATTTTCTTCCCATTTCCCAGTATCTCTTGTACATTTTAGTCCTTATTTACACTTTTGATTTCTCACATCAGAGAAACAATGTGGTATTTAAACGTGTGTCTGATTTATTTCACTAAAGAGTATAGTCTCAGGGTGCATCCATGTACCAAGAAATGTCTCAAGCTTATCCTTTATGGCCAAGTGATACTCCATTGTATAAAAAAGCCACATCTTTATCATTTATTCATCATTGATCGATGGACATTTGGGTGGTTTCCAAGATTTAGCTATTACAAACTATTGCTATAAACGTAGGTGTGACTATATCACTGTGGTATGAATTTTAATTCAAGAAGATAACCAAGAGGGGGAATAGCTGGGTCAAATGGAACCTCTACTTTTATTGTTTTGAGGAGTTGCCACACTGATTTCCATAGTGGTTGCACCAGTCTATACTCCCACTAATGATGGAGAAAGGTTCCTTTTTCTCCACAACCCTGCCAGCATTTGTTATTGGTTGATTTCTTGATAATAGCTGTTCTTTCTGGAGTGAGATGGAATCTCAATGTTGTTTTATTTGCATCTTTCAAATGACCAGTGATGTTGGATATTTTTTCATATGTTTGCCATTTCTGCTTCATCTGAGGGCCAGGGATGTAGTTCAGTGGCGCCACTGTGCCTGCCTGGCAAGTGCAAGGTCCTGAGTTTGATACCCGGTACCAAAAAACCCCTCTTCTTCATCTGAGAAGTGTATCCATTTCAGATGTCCATTTTTGGATTGGGTCTTCAAATTGAAGGGGAGGCTAAATTTTTGAGTTAGGTATTATGCAAAAATTCTTTCCCACACTGTGGGTTGGCTCTTCACTCTGTTGGTGGTTTCTTTTGCTATGCAAAAGCTTTTTAATGAGATCCCAGTTATGATTGTGCTAGTTCCTGTGTGACAGGTTTTGTTTGTAAAATCTTCTTACACCAATTCTACCTAACCTATCTTCTAGCAGGTTTAGTGTTTCTGTTTTAATATTTAGATCTTTGATCCATTTCTATTTTAGTTTAGTGCTTGGTGAGAGATATGGGTCCAGTTTTAATCTTTGGTATGTAGAAAGGTAGTTCTTCCAGGGAAAGTGTTTGGCTCCTTTGCCAAAGATAAGGTGGCTGAGTGTAAAGTTGTTTCTGCATCTTCTAATCTTTTCCATTGATCCTCAGATCTGTTTTGTTGTTTTGTTTTTTGCCAGTACCATGCTGTTTTTATCACAGTGGCTTTGTACTATAATTTCAAGTCAGAGATTTTGATGCCCTCTGCCTTCCCTTTGTTGCCTAGAATTGCCTTTGGTATTCTAGGTTTCTTCTCATTCCAAATGAATTCTAGGATTGTTTTCTCTAATTCTGAGATGTTGTGTTGGTATTTTAATTGGGGTTGCATTCAATCAGTAACAATTTTGGAAGTATGGCCATTTTCACTGTATTGGTTCTTTCTACCCAAGAACAAGGGATATCTTTCCATTTTCTGATATCCTAATTTCCTTTTTCAAAGTTCTGTAGTTTTCATTGTAGAGGTCTTTTACTTTGTTAGATTGATTCCTAGGTATATTTCTTTTTTTGGATGCTATTGTGAAAGTTAGTGTTTCCCTGATTTCTCTCAGTTTGTTATTTGTGTACAGAAATGCTATTGATTTTTGAGTATTGACTTTGTATCCAGCAATGGTACAGAATTTGGTTATTAAATCTAGAAGTCTTTTGGTGGACTTTTTGTTGTCTTCTATGTAGAGTATCTTGTCATCCACATATAATGATAATCTCTTCCTTTGCTGTCCTTAATTCCTTTTATTTCTTTGTCTTGTCTAATTGCTCTGGCTAATGTTTCCAGAACTAAATTGAGTAAGAGTGGTGATAATAGATGGATATCCTTGTCTTGTTCCTGATTTTAGAGTGAAAGCTTTCAGTTTTTGTCTGTTTAGTATGATGTTGGCTGTTGGTTTGTCATACATGGCTTTTATCAGATTGAGATAAAGACCATCTTCCAATTTTCTGTAGTTTTTTTTTTTTAATTTTTTTTATCATGAATGGGTGGTGGATTTTCTCAAATGCTTTTTCTGTGCCCATTGAAATGATCATGAGGTTTTTGTCCTTGGCTCTGTTGATAGGTATATTACATTTATTGATTTGCATATGTTGAATCATCTTTGAATCCCTGGGATGAATCCTCCTTGGTTGTAGTGTATAATTTTCTTGATGATTTGCTGCATTCTCTTTGCCAATATCTTAATGAGGATTTTTGCATCTATGTTCATGAGGGAGATTGGCCTGTATGTCTGTTTTTTGGTTGGATCCTTTTCTGGTTTTGGTATCAGGGTGATGGTTGCTTCCAGGAATGAATTTGGGAATATTGCTTCCCTTTCAGTTTCATTAAAGAGTTTGAGAAGTAGCAGCATTAGGTCTTCACTAAATTTCTTGCAGAATTCAGCAATGAATCTGTTGGGGCCTGGGCTTTTCTTTGTTGGTAGGATTTTAATTACACCTTTAATTTTATTGACTGTTACTGGGTTATTTATGATTTTTTATATCTTTTTGATTCAGCTTTAGTAATTCATGTTTATCTAGGAATCTGTCCATTTCTTCGGTGTTTTCCATCTTATTAGAATACAGGTTCTCAAAGTAGGTATTGATGATCTTCTGGATTTCTGCAGGATCTGTTGTGACTTTACCCTTTTCATTCCTAATTCCATGGATTTGAGGGTTTTTTTCTTTCCTTTTTATAAGGTTGGCTAACGGTTTGTCAATTTTATTTAATCTTTCAAAGAACCAACTCTTCATTCTTTGTATTGTTTTCTTAGTCTCAACTGGATTCATTTCTGCTCTGATCTTTATAATTTCCTCCCTCATATGAGGATTGGTCTTGATTTGCTCTTCTTTTTCTTGAAGTTCAACATTTTTTACTTCCACGGTTACCACTGCAGAGAGTCCAAGTGAGTGGCTTTGACAGTGTTGCACCTCATTGCCCACTGGGTTTGCCCTTGGCGAGCTGGAAGTCTGGGGTTGCATCTTACTTCTGTGTCTTCTCATTTTCTTTTTCTTCTTTTTTAGTTTAATTCCTCCATTGGTGCTTGTAAATTGCTTATGCCAGGTAGCTTTATTGCTAGTATTGAGAACCCTTAGGAAATGACTACTTCTCAGAGGTGTCTTCTAGGTGTAGCTGGCTTTTGGGTTTTTAGTCTGCTGCAAGATCCTACCTCTTCAATTTATTGTGGATGAGAACTTGCTGCCTGTTGTACCTAGCCCTTGGATTTTTTTGGCACTGACCTATAGTATTGTTTATGACCTTTAGGCAATCTCTTGTCTTGTCATACCAGGAGGAACAACTGATTAGAACAATGATGTCACCTTGGCTAAAGTAGTACAATCAGCAATACCAATAGCATAAACAGCCCAGAAAATGACAAACTATGGTTAAGTATTAATTTGCCACCTTTAACTCTATGACTATATTTGTGGTTATATAACAAAATCTAAAATGAACCAGAACCAGAAAAATTGTATACAGTAAATATGTGCTCAAAATGGCGATTTTACCTTCAGGGGAAAAAATTTAAAAGAGGTTGGGGGGAAATAGAGAAATAGAAGAAGAGGCAGAGATTAGAAGCAAGGCTGGGGGAGAAAGGAAGATCACATGAACTTTGGGAAACTGGTGAAGACAGGAAAAGAAAGACAAGAACAGAACAAAAAGAACAATTTTCACACTCATAAAAATAAGAACAAAAAAAAGCTAAAGAAGAACATAAATGTCTACTTCAGGGTGTATCTCTGCTCTCACTGGTATACAGAGTGGGCATACAGAGCCCAGATCCCATGTTGATTAATCCCAGCAAGCCAGCTGTAGATTTGCAGTGGACTGGTGAATAATCCTAGTGATCCTACACCTTTAGTTCCACTGAAGTTCAGGCTGGTTTTTGGCTATGAGGCTGGAACCCAATTTGTTTAGCCTATGACACTGCATGCCTCCTGGCTTGAACTTGGCTCCTTGATCTGCAAACTTGAACTCGGTTTTGCTGCACCC